ATTGAACTCAGGGGCACTCGACAACTGAGCCATATGCCCATCCCTATTTTGTATTTTATTTAGAGACAGCAATCACTAAATTGCTTAGCACCTGGATTTTGCTGAGGCTGGCTTTGAACTTGCAATCCTCCTGCCTTAGCCTCCTGAGCAACTGGGATTACAGGCATTTGCCACCACACCCATCTAACCTTATTTCTAATTAGTTTACAGCAACAGTCACCTAACTGATCTCATAGCTTTTACCATTCCCTCCATCTCCCAATCCACTTTCAATTCAGTTATAAAAATTATCTATTTAATATTTAAACCTGATCACGTCAGTCAAAAACTACAAAGACTCTTACTCTTCATTTAGAATAAAGTCAAGGTCCTAAAATGGCCTATAATTGGCCAATCTGACTTCGTCTCCTACTACCTGCCCTTTCCCATACTCCTAACTACACTGACCTCTTTATTTTTCCTTGAACATGCCAAGCACTTTAAGGCCTTTACTCTAGCTGTTTTTTTCTGCCTGTAACATTATTTGTCTATATATTCTTTGGTTAATTCCCTCACTTCACGTTTTTCTTTAAATCTCATCCTCTTAACAAGACATATGTGACTAGAGTCACATACAGAGTAACATAGGCGAAATTTTTTTAAAAATCAAATTATTGCATAAGCATGAATATATTGATAAGAATTGTAATGTTGCTGAAAATTAAGAGTTGATGATTGAAATACTTTTTAATTAGCTAATACATATGGCAGACTAAATTCAGCAAAGGAAAGGGACTTAGGAATGAACGCCAATGTACACTTTAACAAAATGTGGATTATATACAATTTATAAACCCACTCAGAATGAAATTCACTTAATACTACTACTTGCCATCAGTTATGCTTCATGGTTCTTAGAACCTAAGCACAACATAGGATTATGCTAATTTTCCCACTTTGATTCTCTTTATTATCCTTAAGATTTTCTTTACTATTTTACAAATCAATCCTTCTATTACACTTCAACAATTGTTATTGCTCACATCATCTCCACTATGTTTGTTAATTTTATTGGTTTTAGTCTCTTATCAACATTGAAAAAATTATTTAACTTTAAAGAAAAAAGGTTTTGGAAGTTAAAAGACTCATGCTTTCATGAAAATCTTCTAATTTAACAAATAGATCTACAGTGCTTTCTTGTACTTTTGTGTTCTCTTTCCAGTTTTAATTTTTAAAGAAACCAAATAAGCAAAGTGATATAAAGGGAAAATTAAATATATAAATTCATAACATTATGAAAGTTTTTTGTCTCCTCACTCATTAGTTTTTTTTTTAACTTCATAAGAAAAATTTGGGGAGAAAAATTAAGAATTACTACTAACTGCATAGAGTTTGTTCCTAAAATCTTATCTCTAAATTTTCTGTTTTCATAAGAAATGAGGAAACTAGATATCTAAAGTTTTTCAATGAAAAGACATGTATATTTTCATAAGGGGCTTAGAGAAATTCCTTATTTTGGCTTAATTCTTCATTCAATTAACACTAGAAACATTTGTTTTGACAGTAGAGAAGCAGTAATACTTAAGTCATGGGATACTGTCCTTTATGATTCCTTTATACCTGTAATACTTTATACCTTATACTAAAAAGTACAACAATTAAGATAAATATTATTGTAAGATTTATTAACTAGGTTTTATTTGATAATGATGCTAAACTTTGTTAAAATATATTGAATAATAGCAACAGTTATAGAAAGAAATATTATACAATATGGTAGCAATCATGAGAGACATTTTATAATATATTTTCTAAGAGTAAATAGTAAGCTTGGTTTTCTTTTTATTCTAGGAAGGTTAAAAAAATTCATAAACTTATTTTTGCAACTGAAAAGTACCAAGCAAGTGTACAATTTTTGCCATGCCAAACTTCCTATTCCATCAAAGCCATGTTTTCCTTAGGATCTTTCTGGTATATACAGAAATGTATAAATAAGTAAATGAAGGATGAAAATACTGTGCCCTTTTCATGGATGTTAAAGAAGAGACCAGGGTACCCTTTGGTGGGTTGAAAATCACTTGACAACAACTAAAGAGAGAACAGTGAATTTATTTGCCACAGTTTTCAAGAATTATATGATTTATATGTAAAGTACTGTTAAAATTAAAAATCTTAAACCCTTACAATTAAAACTCTTACTTGAGGCATGGGATACTGTCCTTTGTGACTCCTTCGCTAGCCACGGTGTTAGTGCTCCCTGAAAGACTCCTTGAAGGAGGAAGCTGGGTTGAGAGATCTGGAAATGGAGGACTTGTTTCTGGTTCAGGAGTAATAATATCTTCCACATCATACTGAAGTCGTACCTCTAATGACTTAATAAAAATCAAGTTTTAGTTTAACCTACATCATAATAATAATCACATTAATATATTTGATAGCTGTTAGTAATTATTTACTATTTTTCAGATTAATATGTTCAATTTCAACTTACAGTAAAGTTGACAGGTATCTCAAACTGAATTAAGTAGTGGATTATACGGAAAACTCAGTGACAATCACGGAAAAGTAATTTTTATCCTCCAGAATTATAAGAAAAATACCCTGCCAGTGGAGATAAAGTTTTTCTATAATAAATATTTCTTAAGATAAACTACATAAACTGTATTTCAATATATGAACAATAAATGAGAAAGTCATCATGATTAGTCCAATGAAAGAAATTAAACTGTATGTAGATTTGTGTGTATGGGTTCATATTATTTGTACAAAACTTTTAGTTTAAAAAACTTTCCTTTCATTTTGTCTCTGACTAATTCAGTAAAAGTTTTCCAAAAAAAATTCCACATTTTTAAAAATTTTAAACATTTATTTATTTATTTTTTACCAACATGACAATAGTGGAGTGCATTACATTCATAATATTTTTTGCATTACAATTCTTAATACACCTTTATACCACAATTTATCAAATCTCTGTATATAAGGTATGTTGACACCAAATTCACATCTTCATACATGAATTTTGTATAATGATGACTGTCTCCTTCTACTATCCTTGCTATTCTCCTTCTCTCTCCCTTTCCCTCCCACCCCTATTCCACATTTTTTATATTTGTTTCATTACTATAGCTTTTACTTATTTAATTACATAATGATGATTTTTATAGGTAATCAAAAAACATTTTTTAAAACTAAATTATTTTAAAATAGAACTTATGATTGCATTAAATGCTTTAATTAAAACTGATATTAAGGGTTAGAGATGAAGCTTAGTGGTAGAGTGTTTGCCTAGTAAGTATGAGACCCTGATATGATCCCTAGCAACTCAAAAAAACAACAATTGATTTTATAACAAATATATAATGTTAAAATGTACATTCTTGAGATTGAAAACACAAAAATGATAATATGAGGTATGATAATGATAATATAGCAATCTCACTAAGGTGACTGTTTAAGATAAAATCCAATAGTGATGAAAATAATAATTATGGATTATTGAGTACTTAAATGCTACTAATATTTTTATATAATCATCATAAAAGCCCTATGAAATTGCTATTAGTACTTCAAGTTCATTTTTATTTTCCATTTTATTTACACAGAAAATTATGTAGGAAATAAAAGTGAATTGTACTCAGATTCTAGTACTGTCTACAGCCTTGTAAGTGGCAGTGACACATAGGTATTCAATGGTAAAGCTAGAAGTAAAACATAGGTATGTATGATTTAAAGCTCAGGATTTTAATATAATATTAAAAAGTGATATTACTTTTAGCTATTGAGTTATAATACTTAGAGTAAATAGATCTTCATTTTCTGGTAAAATGGTAAAGCAGACTAGGTCTATTATCTAAAGGTATCTTAAATTAGATTTAATTTATCTCATCAGAGCCTCATAATCTCAAATAACTACAATATTTCATTGGTTTAAAAATTCCTCAACAAGACTCCAAAAGTTCAAGAAGTAAGACCAAAACTCAATAAACAGAATGGTATCAAACTAAAAAACTTCTTCACACATGGAAGCAATCAAGAGCCTGTAGAGAGCCTACAGAATGGCAGAAAATCTGTGCCGCTTGCTCCTCAGATAGAGCATTAATATCCAGGTTATACAAAGAGCTCAAAAAACCAAATAACCCAATGAATAAATGGGCAAAGGAACTAAACAGACACTTCTGAAAAGAACAATATATGAAGACATGTTCAACATCTATAGCAATTTGAGAAATACAAATTAAAGCCATACTGGGATTCCATCTCACTCTAGTCAGAATGGCAATTATACAAGTAACAAGAATACAAGTAACAATAAATGTTGGTGAGAATATGGGGAAAAGGGTACACTTATATATTGCTTATGAGACTGCAAACTAGTGTAATACTTTGGAAAGCAGTATGGAGATTCCGCAGAAAACTTGGAATGGAAGCACCATTTGACCCAGTTATCTCACTCCTTGGGTATACCCAAAGGATTTAAAATCAGCATACTACATTTTATATATTTATAACAGTAATTAGAGAAATCATTGAGGAAAATGAGAACCATATGATTTTTAATAGCAAGATTACCTTAAAATACTAAGCTCATTTTGACACAGAAAGAAAGTAATTAAATTTTGATAGAGAACTGTTCTGTAATTTTAAACTAAGCCATGTTATATTAAGTAATAAAATTCTGAATTCTGAATTACATTATGAATTATTAGTGGTCACATGCTATACACACTTTTAAAAATATTTATTTTTTAGTTGTGGTTGGACTCAATACCTTCATTTTATTTATTTACTTTTATGTGGTGCTGAGGAATAAACCTAGGGCCTTGTACATGCTAGGCGAGCACTCCATGGCTGAACCATGACCCTAGCCCCACATACTAATCACTCTTGATGGCTTAAAACCATACCAAGAAGTAGCCCAAATCTGATAATTGCTTTCTTTTAACAACTGCAAGTGCAAAAGTTAAACTTTAAATAATAACTTACCACTATTTCTGTTGTAATTTCATGTCTGCTGAATTTATAAATTATGACATAGGCAGAGACTCCTGATACACAAAATATTCTGCTCTCTGGACACCAGTAAATCATCTGAATGGCATATGGATCTTCCTCTACAATTTCACATGTTTGTTTGCCTTCTCCTGCCTTCTGTTTTTCAAAGACTTTTGAAGTTTTTAGCTTGTACAACATCTGCAGAGTTACTGCAAGACATTGAAACACAGTTACTTTCTAATTAGGATATTGTTAAAGCTTATTCAATATTTATTAGACCACAAAAAACCCAAGTAAGGAAAATTACATTACATTCAATGTAATGATCTCATATCACTATAGTACTGGGAAGGAGACCATGGGGGAAGAAGGAACATTCTTTGAGCATCACCATCTATCAAGCAATATGAATTTGCCAAGAAAAGTCCTACGACATAGGTATTTTTTATCCTTACTGACTGAAAGTGTGGTAAAGAAATTTTACAATGGAAATACTGAATATAATTCTCTCCTACAGGAGATTCATCAATCTTTTTTCATAATATTCCCTTTTGATTGCTAGAAAAATGATTGATGCTACCCCAAAGTGTTTAATGCACTTGCACTCAAAAAAAAAAGTTACTTTCTGCTGGATGAGAAACACTGTAATTTACCAGCCAGCAATATTTGGAAATCAAAGAATCTGTAATTATTTTAAGAAAGAGTTCTTCTGAATGACTCTGCATCAAAAAAGGATAAAATATTATCTCATAAGCTTTGGATTTGGGAATTGTTTTCAAGAATATTTTTTGGGAAATATTTTTCCATTTGAGAACATGATAACAACCCATCTGAAATTACAATTGTTTTCTGACAAAAATCTCAAAAAATCAAGAATTCTTTCCCAAAGTGCATAATCTAAATTTAATCATCAGAAGCATTAATCAAAACCAAATTGAAGGTGATTCTTCTTTTGTAACTGTCCTGAACGAAAAAATATCAATGTCATGAAATAAAGACTCAATATATATTGATAACTAAATACTATCCTAACTAAATACTAAATAACTAAATACTATCCTAGAATTTCTTTTTTTTATAACGGATATTATTTGGAAAATTGGCAAAAGTTTAATAAGATCTGAAGATTATGAGATAATAGCTTTATATCAGAAGTAGTCTGGTTTTGATAACTCTATTTAGGTTATAGAAAATAATACCCTTATTTGTGTATTTAGGTATGTAGCATTAGAAGAACATGGTGTCTACTCTCAAATGGTTTTAAAAAGCTAGATACATATTATATGTGCATCTTTTGTTTATATATGTGTGTATCAGTGTGACAGAATGGTAGAAGGAGAATGGAAAAGGAGAGGGAGAGAAGGAGAAAAGGAGAGGGAGAGAAGAAGGGGAAAAGGGAAAGAAAGAAAGATACACTGGGGTGGGGAAACATGTAGGACAAACTGAAATTTGGGAAATCTAGATGAAAGTTATATAGCATGTCAGATTATTTTTCTTTTTACATTATTCTGTAAATGATCTCTTTAAACAATATAAAACTAAAATAGTTTCTAAATTGGCAATGGATGTAATAAAATAGTGTTTTATTAAAATTAACTTCTTAACATTATTATGCATGCTAAGGGGTGCTATGCCTTCTAATAGCTGCAGAGTTAAAGGGTCCTCTTTCATTTTAGAAGCTAAGGAATGACTATGCATTAATTTTGTTCCAGGAATAAACTCAGATTTGCATGAAAAGATTCTTCAAAAGAAAATCTGTTGCCCTTTTGAGATTCACTTAAATCACTTGCTCTTTATTGTGAGAAGTCAGAAAGAGGCTCAGAATCCAAGGCTTTAGATCTTTTAATATTTTTCTAACGCTGATGGTTTGCTTGATTGCTGCAGGACTCAATCATGTGGATAAGAGAATCAAGAATCAACTTTGTCCTTTGCTTTTTTCTGTTTATTATAGTCTGCCTCAAAGGCTCTTCATTTCTATAGCTTCAAATATAACTTTCATGCTGCTTTTTCATTAGTTTCCTTTTGTGTTTGTTCTATCAGCTGGAAATTTGGATTTTCAGGTGTTACTGCAAAATTCAGGCCTCAAAACCTTTCATATTCCTTATTTCCTAAAGTTAACTACATTTTCCTGAATTGCACATGCTCAGGAACTTAGAATCATTATCAATTTGTTCATCTCATTCTATTCCTATTAAAATCTTAATTGTCTTTCAAAAATTCATATCAATTGTTACTCCATTAAAATGTAGTTCCTGGATCTACTAGGTCCAAGTTAATCTCTGCTATTTCTGATAAAAAATAGAATTTGGGTTGTACTACATTTACAATTCTTATTTGTTTTGCCTTGATTTATATATGTGCATTTGTCTTTTCTTAGGAGTGTAAATTTTCTAAAGAAAATGGGCATATTGAAGAATTAAGGATATTTGCATGTCCTTCAACGTTGAGCATAACACTATTTATTTCTAAATTACACATTTTCAAGAATTTATAAAAAATTTTACTATTATCAAATAATTTACTTTGATTTCCACAGGACTAAGTAAATGAGTGGAAATGAAAAGTCAAGGCTAGAGGGATAAAAGCACTTGTCCAAGACCAAACAACCAAGGAGGCAAAGGAAATTCCTTCAATACAGTTAATGTGACAAAAGTTTGATATTATTTTCTGGTGCACTATGCCCTTTGTAAATAAAATAGATTGCTGACAGAGTGACTTAGTTCTATTTGCTCTCTATTATAGAAAAGAGCACTATATATATGTATAATTTTAAATGATCTAACAATATAGGAAATAGATCTTTGTAACAGCCATACATTTAGGCTAAAAATATTACTTAAATGTTAGCTGTCCAAACTAAAAAGTAGTGAATGCTACAAGTAAATATTAACCAAGTGTTTCCGATTATATAGGTATAAACTTAAAACTTACTTGCAGAAGCATCCCAAAATTTTATTGATCCATCTGCATGACTAGATAAAAAAATAGTATTAATTAAAGTACACCATATAAAAAATCATCATCGCTCCAAATGTATAAAAATTTGAGTTACTGTTATTAATTTTTTTATTTTAAAATACAATTCTAATGAAAATCATTGAAAATCAATCAATCATTTCTAAACTCAAAACAATAGTTTATTTTTAACTAACATACCAAAATCTAAAGGTTGAACAAAGAACAATTCCCTAGATTTTACTGTAAGACTTTATATGTGATAGTTTAAAATGGCCTATGGAAAATGAATGATATTCTTAAGTAAAATTGCTTCTATTCAATGAAAAAGATAACAGATAATTTTGAAATTATCGAAATATAAAAACAAATCACTAAGCCTATTTAAAATTGAGTCATGACTCATTAATAAATAATGTAATGTCAATTCTGTAAAAATTTATTAACCTCATAGATTCCCAGCTTTAAGCCAATCCCCAAACACCAAAGGCCTAATATCATCTCTGATATAAGGATGATGACTCAAAATAGGCGGTGGGGTCCGTGGACAGAGGAAGTTCACCCAGTTGGAAAAGAGGAAGTTTGGGAAAGGGAGGGGGAATGGGAAATACAGGAGAATGAATAGGACATAACTTTCCTATATTCATATATGAATACATGACCAATGTAACTCTCATTTTTGTACAACTACAAAAATGAGAAGTTACATTCCATGTATGTATAATATGTCAAAATACATTCTACTGTCATGTATAACTGAAAGAAAATAAAAAAATTTTATTGTATTGCTATTTTTAATTAATTTTTAAAAATTTAATTGACAGTGGAATATATTATAATTCATATTACACATATAGAACACAATTTTTCATATTCTGGTTTATACCAAGTCTACTCACACCAATTCATGTCTTCATACATGTACTTTGGATAATGATGACTATCACAATTTTTAAAAAACTCATTTACAAAACAGGAGATGTACCATTTTAAAATATAGAATACTTTCTAGTTCATTCAATGAAATCAGCATTATCCTCAAACTAAACCAGGGGAAAATATTTACAAGAAAAGAAAATTAAACACCAATATCCCTCATAAACATAGGCATAAAAGGGGCCAGAGTTGTGGCTCAGTGGCAGAACGCTTGCCTAGCATGCATGAGGCATTGAGTTCGATCCCTGGTACCATATAAAAATAGACAAATAAAATAAAGGTAATGTGAAAAAAATAGGCATAAAAATTGTCAACAAAATATTAGCAAAGTGCCAGATATCATGGTGCATGCCTGTAATCCCTGTTAGTGGGAAGGAAGCTGCGGCAGGAGGATTACGAGTTTTAAGAACCACCTGGACAGCTTAGCATTACCATCTCAAAATAAAATAAAAAGAGCTGTGATAGGGTTAAGTGACAGAGTAGCTACCTCATATCATATGAGACCCTGGGTTCAAGTCCCAATACTAAAATATTAATATGCAAACTAAATGAAGTATTTACTATCTCTAAGGATTTGTCTATTTTTGTTATTTCATATACATTATGTGACTTTTTGTATATGGTTTCTTTTACTTAGTAAAAATGTTTTCAAAGTTCATGCATATTTCAGCATGAATTCAAAGTTCATTCCTTTTTATATCTGAATTATATTCACTGCATATGAATATATGCATATGATATGCATTTTGTTTATCCATTCATCAGTTGATGGGCATTTGTATTGTTTCCACCTTTTGACCACTAGTTACAGCTACTGTGAACATTCACATACAACTTTTGGCTTAAACAACTACTTTCAATTACACATGGTCCCTGATTTAATTTTTTTTGACTTTACAGTGGCTCAAAGGTGACATGCACTTCATAGAAATCATACATTAAATTTTTAATTTTGATCTTTTCCTCGGCTAGTGTTAAAATACTCTTTCCCATTGCTGAGCAATGGCAGCTAGCTGCAGTTCCCAGTCAGCCACTCAATCAAGAGAATAAACAACCAACACTCTCTTCTGTACTGTTTAGTAGGTTAGGTTTAATAAATGCATTTTTGATTTATATTTCAATTTATGATGGGTTTATTAGGATACCTTTCCATGGTAAGTTAAGAAGCATCTATATTATGAATATATACCTAAAAGTGGAATTGCTGGGTCAAAATGGGAATTCAATTTCACTTTTTGAGGAGATGTCAAATTGTTTTCTGTAGAAGATGTACCATTTTACATTCTCACTAGCAATGTATGAGCTTTCAAAAACTTGTTCTTTTCTAATTTATCATTCTGTTTTTAAAACCTATTAATTAAATTTATTTTTTAACTGATAAATTTTTATGTGTTACTTTGTGATGTTCTGATACAATTATACATTTTATAATGTTTAAATCAGGTAAATATATCTATGTCTTCAAATATCATTTCTTCATGGGAAAAATATTGAAAAGACTTTCTTCCATCTTTGTGTTATATACGGTATTTTACCATTCTCTGTAGTCATCCTACTGTGCAATAGCATACTAAAACTTTTTCTTCCACACAGTAAATTGGTACCCATTTATCAAGTACCTTTTCCTACAATATTCTCTTCTCAACCTCTGGTAACCACCATCTACTCCCAACTTCCAGGAGATCAGCTTTTTAAAAAGATTCCACATTGAATGAGAACATGTAATACTGTTTTTATGTGCACAGTTTATCTCACTTAACATTATGATCTCTAGTTCTAACCATATTGTCACAAAAACAAGAATTCATAATTTTTTAAGGATATATGTACCACATTTTCTTTATCCATTCATCAGGTAATGAACATTTAGATTGTTTTTCCATTTCTTAGTGACTAATACTGCAACAATGCACACAGGTGTGCAGATGTTGTTTCAACATTCTGATTTCATTTCCTTGGATATATACCATGTAAGGGGATTTTTGGATTATTTGATAGTCTATATTTAAATTTTTGAGGCACTTTCATAGTGTTTTCCATAATGGATGTATTCATTTATATTCCCACAATAGTGTGCAAGGGTTTTCTTTTCTCTACATTCTTGCCATACTTGTTATCATTTGTCTTTTCAATAATAGTCATTCATACTAGAGTGAGATATCATTGTGATTTTGATTTGTATTTCCCAGATGGCTAATATATTGAATATTTTTTCATATATATCTTGACCATTTGAATGTCTTCTTTGAGAAATGTCTGTTTATGTCTATTTCCATTTTCAAATCAGGCTATTTGCTTTTTTGCTATTTTTTGAAATTTCTTACATATTTTTTAAAAACTATTTATTTTTTTTTTAGCTTTTAGGTAGACACAATATCTTTATTTTATTTTTATGTGGTGCTGAGGATTGAACCCAGTGCCTCACGCATGCCAGGTGAGCGTGCTACTACTTGAGCCATATCCCCAGCCCCCAAAATTCCTTATATATTTTAAATATCAACCACTTATGAAATTTACAGTTTACAAAATTTTGTCCTCTTCTCTAGGTTGTCCTTTCATTTTTTGATTTTTTTCTTTTGTTATAGAAATTTGTTACTTTGATATAATCTCATTTATTTTTGTTTCCTATGTGTTTTGTATCTTGTTTGAGAAAAAATTCTGTCCATTCCAATGTTCTGAAGAATTTTCTATATTTTCCTTTTATTAGTTTAAAATCTTACAATTTGATTTATGACTCATTTTGACTTGATTTTTTGAGGAGATCTCATTTCATTCTTCTGCATGTAGTTATCTACTCTTCTGAATATGATTTATTGAAAAGACTATTCTTTATCCAGTGCATGTTTTTAGCCTCTTTGTTGAAAATCAATTGACTATATATATGCCAGTTTATTTCTGGGCTTTCTATTCTGTTCCATTGATTTGTGTGTTTGTTGTTTATGCCACCCAGTGTGCAGTTTTGATTATCATAGCTTTGCAGTATATTTTGAAGGTAGGTAAAATAACTTCTCTTGCTTTGTATTTTTCTTATATTGTTTTGGTCATGTGGAGGTTTTTCTGTTGTTATTGGTATTCCATATATGAAGCAAGCACTCTACCAACTGAACTATATCCCCAGTCCCTACTATTGTTTCATATATATTTTTATTTTATTTTTTTAATATTTATTTTTAGTTGTAGTTGGACACAATATCTTTATTTCATTTATTTATTTTTATGTGGTGCTGAGGATTGAACCCAGGGTCTCACACGTGCAAGGTGAGCGCTCTACCGCTGAGCCACAACCGCAGCACCATATATATTTTAGAATTTTTTTTAGTTGTATAAAAAATGTTATTGGTGTTTTGGTAGGGATTGCATACATTGACTCTATAGATTGCTTTGTGTAGCATGAATAATTTAATAATATTGATTCTTCCAATCCATGAATATAGGGTGACTTTCCATTTTTGGTGTCTTCTTCAATTCCTTTAATCAATATTTTGTACTTTTCATTATATAGCTCTTTTACCTCTGGTTAAGTTTATTCTTAGGTATTTTGATTTTTTTTTGTCTACTGTACATGGTACTACTTTCTTGATATCAATTTCAGATATTTTGCCATAGGCATATATCAACACTATTGATTTTTGTTATGTTGATTGTGTATCCTGAAACTTTGCTGAATTCATTTATTCTGATCATTTCTCAGTGGAGTTCTAAAAGTTTTCTTGACATAAGACCATGTCATTTTTAAAGCAACAATGTAACTTTTCCAATTTGGATGCCCTTTATTCTTTCTCTTGACTTTTCTGGCTACAACTGTCATAATTACCATGTTGAATAGCAGAGATAAAAGGGGAATCCTTGTGTCATTCCAGATCTTACAGAGAAATCTTTCTGTTTTTCCCCCATTCAGTATTTTAACTGACTTATTTATATATGGGGTCCATTATGTGGATGTATATTCCTTTCATAATGAATACATAATGTGTTCAGCATTTTTATCATGAAGGGATATTGAATTATATACTTTTTTGCATCTATTGAGATCATCACATGGGTTTTGTCCTTTACTATGTTGATGTGGTATATTTACTGA